TTGCCAAACAGATTTGACGTGGGTTAACACTAATAATGCTCAGTTTGTTGCACCTGAACAGTCTACTCAGACCTCGACATCTTCTATCAACACTCGCTCACTGACTAAAGGTCCATCACAGCCCTGTAGTCAGATTTCATCTGTATCCGGAGAACAATCTTTGTCTCAGTCAACTCAAAAGTCTCAAGCAAAAACAAGCTCGAAGAATAATGTTCAAAGTAAAACCAACTCAAGAACGGAATCTTCGAAAAAGAGTGGCAGACCCCCGAAGTGTTAAGATAATCCAGTCAAATTGTACAATAAATATGGATCGCTTGAGGACATGGAAGTGTCAGAAAACTTCCATTCCAGGGAACATAGCTTGTCGCCCTCGAAAAAGGTGAGGGGTAGATCCCCTATTAACCCACCGAAAAGATAGTTTTTTCTAAACAAATCGTGCAGTGGAACTGTAGAGGACTACGAACTAATTTCCATGAAATACAGCTATCAGTCCAGGATATAACACCATCAGTATTTTGTCTGCAGGAAACATACTTGAAACAGACAGACAATTTTACCTTACGTCAGTGTAAAGCCTATCATTGTTTTTCTCCTCCGGGTGATCGAGCCACTGGAGGATCTTCTATCCCTGTGCGACAAGATATTATTCACAGCCCTGTTACACTCAAAACTAACCTTCAAACTGTAGCAATACGGCTTACTCTGGGTGTTGCTTTTACTTTATGTTCTCTACATATCGCGCCTCCGTCAGCACTTCAACAGGCTGATCTTCAGTCTCTCTATGATCAACTACCGAAGCCCTGTGTTATCATGGGCGACTTCAATGGCCACAACCCACTCTGGGGAGGTTCACACGCAAACGCCAAAGGTAACATACTTGAAGATTTTATCTCTAATAATGACTTGTGTATATTTAATGACGACTCAAGCACTTATCTGCATCCAGCAACCGGCACATACTCTTCTTTAGATGTGTCCATTTCAGATTCTTATTTATTCAATGGGCACCCATGAAGGGCCACCTCCTCGTGGTGGGTGCTGGGTCACGCTAAGCGCCCCTCAACCCCCCCATAGTGGACCCGGGGGTATATTTGGTCCGTGGGTTGCGCCCCTGTGTCGGTGGAGGAAGGGAGTCTGGTGGTTGAGGGCACTGGTTCCAGGAACAGTGTTCCTTTGCCCAACACACCACTTCGCCCCTGACTTCACCTAGACGCGTGGTAGAACTGGCCCGGTTCTATCAATCGGCTGGTCACGCCATGCCCTGTGCATGGACAGCATTCAAATTTATATGAATGTACATTTATATAATGTTGATATTGAATGTTGCATTTCAAAATTATATTATTATTTACATTTGCCTAGAGTCCTATGCCAGAAGGCGGTGGCTCATGGGCCAATCTGGTGATAATGACCTCCAAATAAATAAATGTATGTCTCTAATTTTTTGTCTTGGGCCGAACCAGTCGGGCATGGAATTGGTAGATAAATGCAGCTACTTGTGTTGTTTTCTCTGGAGTATAACACCCCTGTATCCCTGATGTTAGCAGCTTGGATACCCGTTGCTATTTGACACTGTCCTTGTTGACGCTCCGTGGTGGGTGGGGAGCAGGGGTGCTGAATTATTTCCTTCCATCATGGAGCTTACACATGCTGGTTCAATTCGCAATGAAAAGAAAAGACGTTTGGAGGACTTAGATCTCTCAACTGGAAAAGATTCTTCAAACAATGATTCCTGGCCACGATTTTTGGTGATTGAGGCAGCAGATTTCCTACCCATTAAACTAAACCCGTTTGCAATCTCAAACGCTGTATCTGGTATTTGCGGACAAGTTAACAACGTCACCCGTCTCCGTAGTGGTTCACTTCTTGTGGAGTGTGCACGGAGACAGCAGTCTGGCAATTTGCTATCGATCAAAACATTTGTAAATATTGAGGTTGTTGTTTCTGTGCACAGGACACTTAACTCTTGTCGAGGCATTGTTCGGGACAGGGCTCGCTGTTTGTCCGACATGTCTGAAGAAGAAATCGCTACGGAGCTAAAAGAACAGGCGGTAACCGCATTTAAGCGTTTTACCATCAAGAAAGATGGCGCAATCATAAAAACAAACACACATTTAATGTCGTTTGCGCGTTCTTCTCTACCAGACTCTATTAAAGCAAAAACTCATTCAATTTATGACAATACAGTGATTATCAATGCTTCTCTCCGCCAGGAGATAAAGCAACTGGTGGTGCTTCTGTTTTGGTACAGCAGGGCATCATACATAGCCCTGTCCCTCTTAATACCAATCTCCAAGCTGTAGCTGTTCGTCTGATAATGCACATTGCGTTGACGCTGTGCAGTTTATATGTCCCTCCATCTTCTGATATCCGACTGTCGGATCTGCAAAATCTGTATGATCAGCTGCCAAAGCCATGTCTCATCATGGGCAATCTCAACGGACACAACCCGCTTTGGAGTGGTGTCCATACCAATACTAAAGGTAAAAGTATTGAGGAATTCATTTCCGATAATAATTTATGTATTTTGAATGATGATTCAGCCACTTATCTTCATCCAGCTACGGGAACTTATTCTTCCCTGGATCCGTCTCTCGCTGACTCAAACCTGTATAATGAATTTGAATGGATGGTCCATGATCACCTATGTGGGAGTGACCACTTCCCCTACCATTATTGAAATTCAAGGTGGGGAGGGGATCAAACTACGCTCCTACACCTTTACAGATCACTTGTCCGCTCGAAGCTTGATTATGGCTAAAATCAACCTAAACCTATTAGATTCTGTCCACCACCAAGGTCTGAGACTTTGTCTTGGGTCATTCAGAACATCTCCTATTGACAGTCTCTACGTCGAGGCAGATGAACCATCTCTTACCCAACGCCGTATAAAACTATCATTACAATATATTACCAAACTATATTCTAACGAGTCTAATCCTGCATTTAACTGTGTTTTCAATCCTCTTTATGAGGATCATATACAGATCATTGGTGCGATCTAAACTTGATTATGGCGCCATTGTATATGATTGACCCTGCAAAAGCAAACTAAAACTACTGAATTCTGTCCACCACCAAGGCCTAAGACTTTGTCTTGGGTCTTAAAGAACTTCTGTTGACAGTCTCTATGTTGAGGCCGATGAGCAATCCCTTAACCAACGTCGTATCAAATTATCATTACAGTATGTAACAAACTCTGTATTCTAATGATTCTTATCCTGCATTTAGCTGTGTTTTCAATCCTCTTTATGAGGATTTATACAACAAAAAGCCTTCTCTTGTTCCGCCGCTTGGGCACAGAAATAAACCATTCATTTCTGCTGCCGGCATAGAGCTGGAGAATATAACTCCTTCCCGTCTTTTTTCGTCTCCTCCTTGGCAACTGGTGAGGCCTGAAGTTGACCTAACTCTGACAAAGTTCATGAAATCTGAAACTAATCAATTACAATATAAACAAGAATATAATCAGTTAAAAGATAAATATAATACATACAAATCCTTATTTACCGATGGGTCTGAGAATGGTGGCGCGGTGGCATGTGCCACTGTCATTGGATCCAGAACAATATCTTCTCGACTACCAAATAACAGCTCTATTTTCACAGCAGAAGCTAACGACATATTGACAGCTCTTAAATATATTAATAAACACCGTAAATATCAACAATACATAATCATTTCCGATTCTCTTTCGTGTCTTCAGGCTGTTAAAAATCTTTCTTGTAAACATCCACTTTTATTAGAAATTATTGAATTGTATAATGAGCTTGGCCAATGCGACATCGTCTTTTGTTGGTTACCCAGCCACGTTGGCATTTCTGGGAATACAATGGCCGATCTTGTTGCCAAGGCAGCACTCAACAAATCTGTGAAACCACTTCTTATTCCTTACTCTGATTACAAAGCTTGCATTAGAACTTACATCCGTGATCTGATGCAGAAGTGGGACACCGAAGTAGGTATCAATAAATTACATGAAATAAAACCCTATATCGGTTACACTTACTTGGGTTGTCAGTCCAGATTTGAAGAGGCCATCATGCGACGATGTCGTATTGGCCACACTAGATACACTCATGCATACCTATTGAAAGGTGAGGATCCTCAGGTTTGTAACCCTTGTGATGAGAGAACCACGGTCAAGCACGTCCTGCTTGACTGTGCTGAATTCTCCATCATAAGGGATAAATACTTCAATGTGAAAACAGTTAAGGATCTTTTTAACACTGTTACTTTCCATTTAATTATTGGCTTTTTAAAAGAAACTGATTTAATGAATGAATTTTGAATAATATGTTCTGTACATATATGCATTTTAATTATTTGTAGATTTGATTAGTAACTTAGATTGTTAGTGGCAGTGCCCTCGAAGGGGTTTGAAGTAGCGTAAAATTATTGTCCTCCTGAGAGGGTACGTAAGTCCCAAAACATTCATAGTAAATTTAAACCTACTACTATTTTAATCGTAGAATATATGTTCGTTTGATTTATGGCTAGATTATTTAACATTCCTAATAGCTGAGGGGATGGTGTAAATCCAGCTAGGGTCCATGCAGGAAGCAAATGTACTGTAAGTCCCCATGGTCCCTAGTATGGTGATCTATCTTCAGTTGTTGGCAATATATAGCCTGTGTTTACCTTGTATTGCCATCTATAGTTAGACTGTTTTAGATTTGATTGCTAGTTTTAAATTCGAATCTGTGATAATCTAGTTATTTTACTGTCCTTCGTTGACAGGTTTTTATAGTTTACCATTGCTTACTATGCATAACATTAATTGTTCTCGTCACGATATGGCTGAAATATTGCCGATGTGACGTTAAATTTTAATTCACTCACTCACTACTTGGGTTTGTATATTAAGAAATCTCAATGCATCATTTCATAATTGCAACTTCTATGTATGAGAAGGTTGCGTTTTCTTTTACCTATGCCTTATTATGATAAATATATCAATATAAAACGTAAATTATGACAGAATCGATCTTCTATTTCAGGAAAAAACTTAGTGTCGAGCTCACACCACTTGAACTACGACTAAGAGCATGGGTAAAAGTTATTTACGTTATCAACATCAATTTTGACATTTGGCACTGGACAAGCCCCACACTCACTGGCACCATTTGGAAACACGAGATTGAAAAAAACGATAACACTCCACCAAGATTCCCCAACTGTGACCACAGGAAGAGGTCATTGTCAGGAAGCTGTTCTGTCCGGCAACTTGATGGAAGGCATCCCAGTGACACAGCATTCATCCTGGAATTTGACATTTGGGATAAAAACAGCCCTCTTACTGTACACTATAGCATTGGTACTTCTCGGGGTGGAAGAGATGTGAGGTCACTGGTGGAGATGAGAGGACCCTCCTTAACATTGCCCACGGTTTCATTGCCTAATGGAGTACCTTTGTATTGGACAATAAGGGCTAGGAACACTCAAGGTATTGAGGCAACGGCTATGTGCATGCTCCACACGTATGACAATACAGTTCCAGATGGGAGGGTAGATGCTGCCTATCAGTTTACAAGTCACAGAACGGTGATCCAAGCCAACGTTGTCGTATTCGAAGACTCTCCACTAACACCTTATCACTCAGTTGCTGTGGGATACAGTCCTGGGGAGTTTGGAAAAGAAATTTTGGATTGGCAAATTCTGCACCTGGAAAACACATATATGAGAAAAGGTGTCATGTCCGAACTGAAAGAATTTGCCCCATCTAAGCCTGGAAAGTTGTCGTCTGCTCCATTTTCTACGGCTCATGCAGATAATGACATTGAATGTGCAAGACTGTGTTTGCAGACAGGTTCAAAATGCATTTCCTTTGACTATGCAATGCATACTCAGTCGTGTGATCTTCAGGAAACAGTTGTTGGAGCTAAGGCGAAACTTCGTGCTGCTGCATCTTACTTCCATTATGAAAGACTTGGAGTTGGCTACAGCGCATTTCGGGAGTTCTCTCACTCAAACCTCGAACATGGTGCCCAGTATTTTATAAATGCAAAGATCACCAACACTCTAGGATATGTTGCCTACCTGCCATCAACTGGGACTCTAGCTGACTTTACTCCTCCTGAACCTGGTCCTGTAGGAGAAGCTGTTTCAGATGTGTTGACAGCTGATGGATGTAAGGCAGCTGTGACTCAAAGATGCATCGATGTCACCAAGGAGCTCAATCACAGGTAAAGATACCTTTGCCTTCTGCACGATGACGACATAAACAAATTTAAACGTACATCCGAACAGATCAAATGAGATAGAAGACATGTCTTTTACAGAAAAATCATTGATGGGGAGTGCTGGAAGAACGGTTTTCGGAGGTAACAAACCTCTTGAAGATACGAAATACACGCTTGCAAACAACTATATCTCAGGTAATCTGTTTTGCCATGGTATACCTACTTGGTCACATTAAACAATGTAGTGTATTAGTTTTGGTATATGTAACTAAGAAACACAGTTCGTCCTACCACCATGTATAGTGTAATAAAGCACACTTTCGCCCTGAACTACTGTAACGTTAAAGCACTCGGACACCATGTATAATGTAATAAAGCACACTTTCTCCCTGAACTAGTATAGTTAAAGTACGAGGACGCTTGCGTCCGAGAGCTTTAATGTCATAATAGTCCAGGGCGAAAGTGGGCTTTATTACACTATACATGGTGGTAGAGCGAACTGTATTTCTTTTCTAAGATGCCAATTATAATACTTTCTAAGGATAATTACGATTAATTTAAGGCAGAAAACAAACGACCGTGTCGGTGACCTAAATTAAAAATCCTCGCACAGGGCTAACTGGCACGCTGCTCTATTGATGTGTCTGCCCCCGTACGTTAAGACGAACGTTACCAGAAAACAAAACAAATGATAACAGTTTGATGACGGTTTATGTTCGCATTAAATATCTTATGTTAATTACATCTGCCATTAACGTGAACCATATGGGGCAATATGAACGTCGCATTTCTACTACCAATGTAAGTTTAGATCAGTACATCCAGATGAAGCTGAGTAGTCAAGCGACTTTCCACGATTGCATTGTGGGAATGTAAACATTGCGCACGTTACCGTGTCGCTGTCTGCGGGGGCAGACACATAAACGTAATGTTTCCACCAGTAATATTAGCCGAGTGAAGCAACTGCAGACTGAGAAACGGGATGCAATGGATTAGTTTACTGTAGGAGGCCGTACTAGGTGTGACGTCGCTAACATTGTGACGTAATGTAAAAATGTTTGGATTACGAGGGGGCACACTAGAATGGCGCAGTGACGGGATAATGTCATTCAATTGTTACGTCATAAAACAACTATGCCTTTATTTAGAAGGCATAAACGTAATGTTTCCACCAGTAATATTAGCCGAGTGAAGCAACTGCAAACTGAGAAACGGGATGCAATGGATTAGTTTACTGTAGGAGGCCGTACGAGGTGTGACGTCGCTAACATTGTGACGTAATGTAAAATGTTTGGATTACGAGGGGGCACACTAGAATGGCGCAGTGACGGGAAAATGTCATTCAATTGTTACGTCATAAAACAACTATGCCTTTATTTAGAAGATAAAGCTACTCTGTTTTCAATTTTGCGGTCCTTTATCGTTGATTTAAGACCGCTAAATTAAACATTTAGCGGAAGCTTTATCTTCTTTCTAGCACGACTGATAAGCGTTTTAAAACCGAACTGTTTGGCGCGCAAGAACACAAGGCGCAAAGGGGCCTTTTTCCTGGAAATCGCTTGGAATCGTCCCTTTGAGGGACAGGTTGTATAATGAACAAAGTAAGACATTTTTAGGAACATAAATGCTATATTTCAGGAACCAGGAACTAGCATACATAAATAAAAAAAATACAGTTCATTCTGTGAGCAAGTACAATTATTTGATTTTTCTTAAGCGAATTATTGATCTCCCCTACTGTATGACAATCGACTCGCCCAAATGCGATCCGTGAACTCGCTAAGTTTAGTCGCCGCTAACTTTATTCACGGAGAGAATTGTTGATAACAACTACTATCCCCCATTTGGAAAAGACCTGACATGCCACGTTTTATGTGGGATACATGGACATTGGAAGTGGAAGGACTGGGCATTACGGCCGGGACGGAAGCGGTCAGGTTAGGACGTGTGGGCCGACGTGTGTTGTGGACGTCAACACACGCAGATCTGGACCCGCTTGGAATATGCTGCCGCTTTTGCGCTGTTGGCGGATTTTCATGCTTCGTAGTTTCTTCACTGGGATTAGGGTCAAGAAATTCTTCTTCAAACCATTTGGTTTTTACTTCAAAAGCACCAAAGATGCTGCCGACATAGAAATTGCCGGTGTCCGACAAGTTTGTTTACAAACAATAGGGTCAACGAGTTCGTTGTATTCATACGCGGTGAATCGGTCACTTTAATTATAGTTTGGCATGAAATGCATGTGGACCTGGTTTTTTGTAAATATCTCTTCATCCAGTGATCCAATCGATCTCAAACTGTGCACATTGTAAATCACCGATTTTATGCATTTGTATTAAGGAATCTGTCTATGTAACTGTCAACAAAATAAACAGCAGAACGCCGACGGCTTGCAGAGGGAGGGAGCCAATGACCTGTAAGAGCGGCAGTGTTGGGTCATAAAAGTAAATGCACGTGCAGTTCATGATAGTTACCTGTGCACTGCACAGTGATAGACCGTTTGGATCATTCATATTGACTACTTCTAGCTCTCATCAAGAAAGCTTATTCAGATGATGCTAAACGTTTAATTAGAAATGTGTTGAATTGTTTTAAAAAAGAGTGCTAAAATTGTGAAAAATAAACCAAAACCAATAAACAAGACCTTGTACAAAAAGGTAGGCATCCAAAGTTAGATTCGTTTGACATCAGTGTCATCAGAGATGTCATTCGCCGGCTATTTGCTAGAAATGAACACCTGTTAAAACACATCCTTGCAGAGGATCACGACATTAATGTTTCTAGGTTGATGCTAAGCAAACTACTGCTCAATTTTGGATACAAGCACAAGAAGGTAGCAAACTAGAAACTTGTAATGTGTGAGAGATCTGATATTGTGAAAATAAGGTGTAACTATCTGAGAGAAATTAAGATATTTGCTAGAAATGAACACCTGTTAAAACACATCCTTGCAGAGGATCACGACATTAATGTTTCTAGGTTGATACTAAGCAAACTACTGCTCAAATTTGGATACAAGCACAAGAAGGTAGCAAACCAGAACATTGAAATGTGTGAGAGATCTGATATTGTGAAAATAAGGTGTAACTATCTGAGATAAATTAAGCAGGCAAGAGAGGATGGGTTCGAACCTATATATCTGGATGAGACCTGGGTCAATGCAAACCATACTGCTGCCAGACAGTGGCTACCCACTGATCCCAGTGATGGTAGGAAAATACCAACAGGCAAAGGTGAACGTTTAATCGTTCTTAATGCTGGTTCCCACCGTGGATTCCTACCTGGGTATGATCTGCTATTTCGGTCAAAGAGCACAGATGGTAGGGACTATCATACAGAAATGAACTCAATGGTTTTCACACAGTATGTTGAGGAACACTGACACTGATGACTCCTCTGTGGAAGAATGGAGTGAACTTGAACTAAAGTTAAAATCTGTTATTATATTTACAGATAATAATAGTATCCAGCCAGATATGCTCAAAGAAACTTCTTTTAACAATAACAGCACCGACTAATTCCAACGACTTATAGTGTAACATGAAACAATCATTTCACTTAAAATTATCATGAAAATATAAATATTAACTATCTATATGCTTAAAGCTATTAGAAATGCATTGCTTAATTTGGAATGCGAACGACATCAAAACATAACACTTTTGTCTTCATTCTATCTTTTCTTCAATGAGTGTGCATAATTGTGTGTGCTTGTGTCCGAGGGAACGGGGCTTTAACAGTTGCTGAGTTCTAACCATAGGTGGTCCGATTAATTATTTAGTGTAAATATGCATTTACACTTAGGTACTGCGTAAACAAAATATGACATTAACATTACAAATTTAAAGATTTTAACTTACAGAATAATTCTCACTAATGGGTTTTGTGGTTAATGTTGAACACCTCAGAGAAACAAACTCTGTATGATGGTTAACAGTTGGCACCCACCTTACCCTATTCCCGACCTGTGACACCTCTTCATACCTGTCACGTGCATAGCTGACCTACATTGACGAACGTTGACCTTTATGACCCAACACTGCCGCTGTTACAGGTCATTGGCTCCCTCCCTCTGCAAGCCGTCTGCGTTCTGCTGTTTATTTTGTTGACAAATAGACAGATTCTTTATTACAAATGCATAAAATCGGTGATTTACAATGTGATTAGGTTGTCTGACAAAACATCCACTTGCACAGTTTGAGATCGATTGGATCATTGGATGAAGAGATATTTTAAAAAAACCCGGGTCCACATGCATTTCATGCCAAACTATAGCGGTCCTTAAACTGTCATTTAAGTACGGTTTTGATGTGCTCTCAGCCAATCAGAATCAAGTATCACACATTGTCGGGCTAGAATGTCTGATAATTTTTGTTTTTTGTTTCGATTGTTCTAATCGCTAGGCATCTTAGAACTGTGGATAATTTGATGTGTGTGGTTTGTTGACATTGGTATTGTTATGGTTACTTTTTACAGGAAAGGGGCTGTGGGGTAGCCTAGTGGTTAAAGCGTTGGCTCGTCATGCCGAAGACCCGGGTTCGATTCCCCACATGGGCACAATGTGTTAAGCCCATTTCTGGTGTCCCCGGCCGTGATATTGCTAGAATATTGCTAAAAGCGGAGTAAAACTAAACTCAGTCAGTCAGCTTTTACAGGAAACTGCGATGGCTTCCACGACGACGAGAGTGGTATTTGGGGCTACACGTGGGCAGCTGGGACGTCTGTGTGTGGATCTGATGTCGTGAAGTTCACTGATCCTCACGCTCAGCTGCAAACCAGGCAAGACTGGACCTATACCGGACTGGGCAAGAATCTCCATCTGGCTGATGGTCAGTACTATATCACCTTCCAAGCTATCAACAATGTTGTACACGGAGGAGCTTTGGTTACAACAGTGTGTCACTCTACACCTGTGACAGTTGACACGACACAGCCCGTAGTACATGAGGTAGGGGATTTGTTGTTTGATGAGGATTTTGATATCTTGGGCGTCTACTTCAATGTATCAGACTCTGGATCGGGTATTGCAAGAGTGGACTTTGGTCTGGGAAAAACAAAGTATGATGTTTTTGTGAGATCTTACAGCCGTCATCCCTTTCTCAACCGAGCTGACCCATACCTTGTGATAGAAGATCTTGGCTTGACTCCTGGTGTCCAGGCTTGGGTGCGAATCAGAGCCGTAAATTTAGGTAGGAAGAAGCTACTGAAATTTTAGATATACACATCCTTAAAGGAAAACTGTAACTGTTTATCAGACAAATATTTACAACGTATTGTTGTTATACCCCGCAACACGTTTTGTGGATGGTATTAAAATGGACCCCGTCCGTCCGTGCGTGCGTCCGTGCGTCCGTGCACATTTGTCTTTTCCAGAGCAGATGTTTAAAACCGTTCAATTTTTCTTCACTCAACTTGTCACATAGATATGAGGCTGGACTGGTGACTCTTGGACTTTTGGTAGTTTTGGATTTCTGAATAAAATATTTTTTTGCGTTTCCATGGCAACAAATTTGATTTGACTGAAATTGGTGGTAGTGTTCTTTTCCGGAGCAGAACTCGAAAACTGTTCAGTGTTTCTTCACCAAACTTGGCACACACAGATGTATATAGGTCTGGATGTGTACTGGTGGCTTTTGGTAGTTTTGGAATTCTGAATAAAATATTTTTGGCGTTTCCATGGTACCAAGTTTGACTTTGACTGAAATTGGTTGTAGTCTCTTTTCGGGAACTCTAAACCCGTTCACTATTTCTTCACTAAACGTGGCACGTCGATAGGTCTGGTTGGTAGTTTTGGAATTCTGAAAAAAAATTTTTTTTGTGTGTTTTTCCTTAGGAAGTGTTTCAAGTCTGGCTTCAACTGAATTTGGTGGTAGTGCTCCTTTTGGAGCAGAACTTAAAACCTTTCAATACTCTCCTTCCATTTAGCTATATGATTTGGCTATCATAATTCGTTGAGATATTCATGATTATTTTGCCATTGCGGGCAATATTGATGACTTTGTTTGTTATTCATAGTCGATCTCTCCACTGCAAGCCATGGTGATGTTCCGATACTCATTGACTTAACACCGCCAGTCGTTGGTAAAGTACTTGATGGGGACAAACTGCTTGAAGATTTGAAATACCAACATAGTACTCAAATGATTTGTGCACAGTGGGTATATTTCTATGATCCAGAATCTGGTATTGACAGGTATGTTAAGCCAGTTATTTCTCAACTTTTCCTTTGTCTGTGATGACCTGTATGCATGTCCTACCAATATTTGAATGAAACTCCTTTACGCATGTACATATTTGTACTATTTACGTTGACGATCTATATGTGCTCCACAATTTTAATAGTATTTCATTTGCCATAGTGATTGCTAATCTGTTAAGAGACAATGTTGCCATATGCCACTACTTTCAGTTATCTCTGGGGCGTTGGAACAACAGCTGGGGCTGATGACATTCTTCCATTTACAAATTGTACGCATCACGTTAAATCTGGGTGCAACGTCACAACTCTGCACCACAATACAACATACTATTCAACAGTTGTCGCTTTCAATGGGGCACTCAATCAGAAGAAAATTCTCGCAACATCTGATGGAGGTACAGTTTAATTTTTGCTAACTCTACAAATGGTGTCAAAACCTAAGCCATATTTAGGAGCCCCCTAGAGGGTCTGAAAGTGCACAAAGCAAACGTCAATCAGTGAACGAATGTGCAGAACAATTTAGGATCGGACTTAAAATTCATCTTTCCGCAAACCTAATGTTATACCGTTATACCTCATGCATGCATCCATGCATGCATGCATTCCTCCCAGTCAGTAAGAATAATTCACTTGGACATTAATTCACTTCGTTCATTAGAATAAAGAAACATACTTAGAGTTATTTCCCCAAGATTTGTCTCATTTAGATATAATGGGAAACACCAGACAATGGCATCTGACATTAATTCCAGAACAGAAAATTAAGGCTTGTATTTTGAAAATATTTCGGCAATAGTATGAAAATTTCTTATAGACAGACAGCTATACTGTTGTATAGTAGTTAGTGTACATTTGGATGCCGCAATGTGATTTCCTTCTGAAAGAATGGAAGGGTATACCTACTGTCTTCTGTTTCAGTGCTGGTAGACGTACACCTCCACTGCTCGGGTATACCTATTGTCTTCTGTTTCAGTGCTGGTAGACGTAACACCTCCACTGCTGGGGTATACTTATCGACTTCTGTTTCAGTGCTGGTAGACATAACACCTCCACTGGACGGGTATACCTATCGACTTCTGTTTCAGTGCTGGTAGACGTAACACCTCCAGTAGTTGGGTATACCTATCGACTTCTGTTTCAGTGCTGGTAGACGTAACACCTCCACTGGACGGGTATACCAACTGTCTTCTGTTTCAGTGCTGGTAGACGTAACACCTCCACTGGTCGGGTATACCTATCGACTTCTGTTTCAGTGCAGGTAGACGTAACACCTCCACTTGTCGGGTATACCTATTGTCTTCTGTTTCAGTGCTGGCAGACGTAACACCTCCACTGGACGGGTATACCTTTTGTCTTCTGTTTCAGTTCTGATAGACGTACACCTCCACTGGTCGGGCATACCTATTGTCTTCTGTTTCAGTGCTGGTAGAGGTTACACCTCCACTGGACGGGCATACCTATTGTCTTCTGTTTCAGTGCTGTGAAATGTAAAACCTCCACTGGACGGGTATACCTTTTGTCTTCTGTTTCAGTTCTGATAGACGTACACCTCCACTGGTCGGGCATACCTATTGTCTTCTGTTTCAGTGCTGGTAGACATAACACCTCCACTGGACGGGCATACCTATTGTCTTCTGTTTCAGTGCTGACAGACGTAGCACCTCCACTGGACGGGTATACCTATTGTCTTCTGTTTCAGTTCTGGTAGACGTACACCTCCACTGGTCGGGCACACCTATTGTCTTCTGTTTCAGTGCTGGTAGACGTAACACCTCCACTGGACGGGTATACCTATTGTCTTCTGTTTCAGTGCTGGTAGACGTAACACCTCCACTGGTCGGGTATACCTATCGACTTCTGTTTCAGTGCTGGTAGACATAACACCTCCACTGGACGGGTATACCTACTGTCTTCTGTTTCATTGCTGGTAGACAGTAACACTTGCACTGCTCGGGTGTACCTATTGTCATCTGTTTCAGTGCTGGTAGACGTAACACCTCCACTGGACGGGTATACCTATCGACTTCTGTTTCAGTGCTGGTAGACGTAACACCTCCACTGGTCGGGTATACCTATTGTCTTCTGTTTCAGTGCTGGTAGACGTAACACCTCCACTGGACGGGTATACCTACTGTCTTCTGTTTCAGTGCTGGTAGACGTAACACCTCCACTGGACGGGTATACCTATCGACTTCTGTTTCAGTGCTGGTAGACGTAACACCTCCACTGGTCGGGTATACCTACTGCCTTCTGTTTCAGTGCTGGTAGACGTAACACCTCCACTGGACGGGTATACCTACTGTCTTCTGTTTCAGTGCTGGTAGACATAACACCTCCACTGGTCGGGCATACCTATTGTCTTCTGTTTCAGTGCTGGTAGACGTAACACCTCCACTGGACGGGTATACCTACTGTCTTCTGTTTCAGTGCTGGCAGACGTAACACCTCCACTGGACGGTATACCTATTGTCTTCTGTTTCAGTGCTGGTAGAGGTAACACCTCCACTGGACGGGCATACCTATTGTCTTCTGTTTCAGTGCTGGTAGACGTAACACCTCCACTGCTGGGGCATACCTATTGTCTTCTGTTTCAGTGCTGGTAGACGTTACACCTCCACTGCTCGGGTATACCTATTGTCTTCTGTTTCAGTGCTGGTAGACGTGACACCTCCACTGGACGGGTATACCTACTGTCTTCTGTTTCAGTGCTGGTAGACGTAACACCTCCACTGCTGGGGTATACCTATTGTCTTCTGTTTCAGTGCTGGTAGACGTTACACCTCCACTGCTTGGGTATACCTATTGTCTTCTGTTTCAGTGCTGGTAGACATAACACCTCCACTGCTGGGGTATGTCCAGGATGGTGCTGATATTGCGAATGATGTGGAGTTCAGCTCTCAGATAGCTACTATTGAAAGTACCTGGGCCAACTTCACTGACCCAGAAAGCCATGTACAAGAGTACACAATGGTGGTATACGTAAACGATGAACTGAAAAAGACGTTCCATATTGGATCCATGACCAGTTACACTGACCATACAATGGACACTAAACACAAGGACTATGTCCGAGTTCAAGTCACAGCAACAAATGGTGCACGACTTGAAACACAAGCGGAAAGTAATGGGTATCTGGTCGACGAAACACCACCAAACATGATGTATATACAAGATTCTCAGACAGGCAAATACCAAAGTGATTCTTCACACCTTGGGTTCAAGTGGCATTTTACGGATGAAGAGTCAGGCATCTTAAAATGCAGATACACTATATTTGAAAAGATTGGCGGTCAGAAGAAAAGGTTTTGGCCAAAAGATGAGACATTTGCTGTCATTGAAGTTGGAAAAGCAGACATCCAGTTGGATTCCCTTACTCTCAGAAATGGGGCCCTATATACAACATCGGTCACAGCTCTCAACAACGCCCTTCTTGCAACGTCAGTAGAATCAAGTGGAGTTGTTATTGACACTACGTCACCTACTGTAAAGAAAGTGAGTATCCATCATAATATCACTTGATAGGGATTCAGTATTTCAAAAGAACAATTGAGTCGAACAATGATTAATTTTATTCTCTTTTTAAGATAACAACAAAGTTACAATCATGTATGTCTACTGTTTGAATAGTTTCAAAGGTTTTCGTGTGTTGCATTACAATGAGTCTTTTAGGGAACTGGAAAGAATGGCTTAAGTATTCATTTGTGCAATCTGTATTGCCAAGAGTTTTTCGAGAACTTTACACAGGGGCTACAAGTATTCATTTGCGCAACATAATAACATATATTGGATGCAAATACACCTGTAATATGATGTTTTAATATTGGCCGCACATTTTGTAGGTACTCATAGGTCTTCCTGGGGAAGAGGAGGAGCTTGATGACTTCGGAAATGTAATCCACATGGAGGATCAACCGATGCATGTGTCTTGGACAGCTCGTGATCCTGAGAGTGGTATAGCTGAAAGTCTGCTTTGTGTGAAAAACAATGCCATACAGTGCACTCGAAGTGAGCAGTTTACCAACTATCGGCAGCACATCATCTGTAATATTAGAAGCTCGCAATTTTATATCAGATGACAAGACCCAGTACGTTGTCGTTATCAGAGTTACAAATGGAGCAGGTTTGACAGCAGAAGCTTCATCAAAGTCAATACATGTAGAGAAGGGAAACTCCCCTGGAACAGTCTATGATGGTCGAAGTATCAGTGAAGATGCAGATTTCCAGCAGGATCTCTCCAGTCTCTCCATGTCGTTCGATGGCTTCGGTAGTGATACGTGTGGAATAGCCGGCTACGACTGGGCGATAGGAACACATCCATATCTGAGTGACATAATGCATTACACAAACTATGGACTTACGATGGTCAGCGACAGTTCAGGATATGCTGAAATAACAAATACAAACTTCAACAATGTGAAGTACTATGTTACAGTCCGGGCTATAACTGGTGTGGAATGTCCAGACTCGTACATCGTATCATCATCAAATGGTGTAATGGTTGACCATGAAGTTCCTGTTATAAATCAACAGTACAGAGGTCAAATGATGACTTACTCACTTTTGTTTTTAAACCAAACAACAACTCTACCAATATCATGGTCTGTAGAGGATGCAAATATTATGCCTGTGATATCCTGGTCCATAGGGAGCCTCCCAGTCTCTGGTGAAAAACACACTGTTGATATTTCAAAGTCGGGTCTTGATCCATTGGACATAAGTCTTTCAGCAAACAACACATATTTCGTGACAACATATGGCTCGGATATGGCTGGCAACGCGGCGTTAATGAGTTCACCGCCAATCACAGTTGATAACACTCCTGTCTCTATTATTGACTATGAGTGTACACCCTTTGTATCAATGATGTCAACAATTGTCACTTGTTCTTGGAGGTTTTTCGAAGAAGCAGAAAGTACCATCACTAACGTATCAATCACAGCACGTACAGAACAAGACAGCTCACATATATTAGTGGCAACCAGGCTATTGGCAACTGAGAGACACTGGAGCTTTGACACAAATGGAGTTTTTCAAGATGCAGTTTCATTCCTGTATATAACTCTGGAAATTGAAAATGGTGCACATCTTCGTAACAAATTCTTCAAAGAAATCATCTTTGATCAGACACCTCCAACCATAGGGGAAGTGTCAGTAGTTACATCATCTAATCCATCATCAAAACAGGAAGTAGTCTGCCAGCAACAAACAACGTTCATATCTGTATTTTTGAATGGATTCGAAGATCCCGAATCACAGATAGACAGGTGAGTAACAGTTTTACTTAACGTAAATAGATATCGCTGTTAAGATGTTTACAGAAACATTCCTTATATCCAAGCAATTTCCTCTTGTGTTGTCTTCCTTAAAATCATGATACTAAAAACCCACAGTTAATATTTATGCAGAAACATCCATTACAGCCACAACATTTCCTCATATGCTATCGTTTATATAATCATAATGTTAAAACTGTGGTATGTTTCAGGTATGAAGCAGGACTGGGAAGTGAGCGAGGACTGACAGATGTTCTTCCATTCACAAAAGTCAGTTTGTCCAAAGGACTGTTTGTAGTTTCAAACCTACACTTGGAATCTGGAACCCTCATCTTTGTCAGTGTCCGCATTTTCAACAAAGCCGGTCTGTTCATAGTGAAAGAAAGTTGTCCAGTTGCTATCAGCCCACAACCCTACCTAGTTGTTTTAGATGGACTAGGACATGATGATATTAACAGTCAACATGACTTAACGACCATTCAGGGAAGGTGGGGCTACTCTGATCCCTGTCTAGTAGTATCAGCAGAGTGGGGAGTAGAAGACATCACAGGGGAGATTATCAAAGACTTTGAACAAACCCCTGGGAACGGCCATAGATTCTACAATGATGAATTGACATTGGAGAATATGAAGACATACAGAGTCATTGTGAGAACCACTGATGCCCTCAACCGCACCATGATTGGTAGATCTGATGGGGTGATGGTCAAGATTCAGCCTCCCGTTCCTGGGAATGTTCGAGATGGCATTTCGTCTGACATCAACTACCAGCTACCTACAAATTACCTTGCAGCAAATTGGGATCCGTTTGGAGAAATAGATGATTTGGACCCATCACAGAAAATTGAATACTATGAAGTGGCTGTAGGGAATGACAGAAGATATAAAGAGAGGAGATCCAATATTCATTTCTTTGAAAATGTTAGTCTCAACAGAAGTTATATCTTTAAGCATTTAAATCTAACCGCAAAAACAGTTACATATTACATCACAGTGAGGGCATACAGTTCTACTGGACGTTATGAAGAATCTTTTTCAAATGGAATCCGAGTTGGATTTGGAACAGACATCGTGCCGGGAGATATCGAAGTTGCTGAGTACCAATCCAGCACCAGTGAAATACCAGTATCCTGGTCTGACTTTATATCTGACTTTAACATTCGGAAATATGAAGTTGCTGTTGACACTGAAGAACATACAGAGTCAAATACAAGCTTGGAATGTCAGGCTTTTGTCTTTCAGCCACTTGTGGCATTTGAGTCTGTCAACAAAGACACAATCAAAACCATAAAAGGTCTTCAATTAAATCATTCTGAGGTTTACTTTGTCCTTGTCAAAGCTGAAGATGAGGCAGGGATGTGTCTGATTGCATCCAGTAAAGCAATTACAATTGATACAACATCACCTGAACCAGGGCAAGTGATCATTGATGGTGGACGGTCATCTGGTATTCTATATGCCACTCAACTGCACTCTCTACATATAAACATGACAGGATTTACAGATGAAGAAAGTTCCATAGATTACTACACAGTAGCATTCTTAGGAGGCTTTTTCTGCACTGATTCAACGTCCTTATCCCCCAAAGACAAAGACGTTTTACGTTCTGTCACTGTTTCAACGTCCGATGCCCACTTCAACGATCTCATGTTAGACACAACCAGGCCATACTATATACAGGTTACAGCAGCTAATAAGGCAGGTTTGAAGACAACTGTGACAAGCAAACCTATTTTAGCAGATTACAACCCTCCAGTTGCTGGAAACATACAAATTGGGTCAGATTGGAGGTACAGTTCAAGGTCCTGGGGCGATACGAATCTGTTACAGGGCACAATGCTCATCAATACCAACATACACGATTCAACATGTCAAACTGAAAGAGAAGTACTGAAGAATGACTATAAAAAGGAAATAATGATTTTGGATGATGTTTTCCAATCCCAAGCTGTTGACATTTTAGACAATAACCATGTCAAGATATATGCACGACTTGACCCCTCGCTGCAAATGTTTGAGAAAGGAGGAGTCAAAACAAACCCAATGCTGCTGATTGAAGGTAACTATTCATTTTCTCTTCAGGCTACAGCACGACACAACGTTTCATCTATTATAGGTCTGGTTCAAGAAAGTCTTCCAAGTCCTGATGATATCTTAAAGGCTTATGCAAAGATATTTATAGATAAATGCAATGGCAGTGCATGTTCTAATGGCAACAGGACTGTATTAACTGATGAAGAGAGTTGGAACCTTGGCGTTCTCTTGACTATGAATAACATCTCAGAACCCCTCATTCTGTTCTGGGCCAAGGATAAATCCAGAATCAAAGTTTACAATGTCCATGGAGACTTTGACCCAAGTTTCCCACTGAACGACTTTTCCTTTCAAACAATAAATGACTCAACACCATCAACAGATTCGTGGAATGTAAATCTATTCATCAACGGTCAGTTGAAGGGACAGCATTCTGGACTGGACATCCAAGGATACGTTGTCACCACAGTGTTCTCCTGGAACAATAATGGATATATTCCACAAGTTGATGATCCATTTGACCCATTCTCAACTAACCTTCTCCTATCATCAGTGAGACTACCGCTCCCGCAAATACATCCATGTCGGTATGGAAGGGCATTTTATGATTCACAGAGTGGTATAAAGGATATTTTTATTGGTCTATCAGATTCTCAGAACACAACTGCAAATATAGTACCTTATAAAAAAGAAATGTCATTTTGTGTTCCTTGCAAGGATCTTTGCAAAGAAAGTTGTGGCTTTGAAGGTTCCTGTTCCCAGAGTACAGACCAACAGGGATTATCAATCAGGCATTTTGAACTCAGCAACTTGACACTGACTCCGTCTCGGATGACTGATCGTATTAACTACACTGATACCCAAGTAAGTGCCTACTATTTTGATGTGAAAGTAACTGATCATGCTGGTTATGAAAAACAAATCAAGTCTGAGGCAATCATCATTGACACAACACCTCCAGTGGTGACTGATGTCACTTGCTTTGATCCGGACTACTCGCTGTATGAACCTGCACTGTACATTGGAAATGATCATGCTGTTAGTGCTAAGTGGGAGATATCCGAGGATTTTAGTGACATCAACGCAGTCGTTGTTGGAATTGGAACAAAATGTGGACTACATGATATTGTTCAAATGCCCCTTCAAAACAGATTGAAGAATGTAACATTGAGTTCAACAAACGAAAGTCTTCAACAGGATCAAAAGTATTTTGTTGGCGTTACCGTGGTTAATTCTGCTGGTCTCAACCACACTGCATGCTGTCCATTTATCGTTGACATTAAATCTCCCACAGTTTCCTCTACTGAACCAGTGCCACTGTTTGTCTCAGCAGAAGATGTAGCCGGACTGAACGTTTCAGTTACCGAGTACAATGACCGGGTTGGAATCAAGTGGGATGATCCTCATAGTGATGTTGATTATTTTGGTAAGACAAAACCTGATTTATTGTTCCTTCTTTTTTATTGGGGCCAACTGGACAGGTGTTCTGAGATGTCGTCAGTTTATCTATTTCTTTGCTGGGATCCACCTGTCACTGGTTTGAATCCAAACGTGTCCTGCCCATGCAGGTAGCAAAGATACTGTAAGTCCTTAGTACGGTGATCTGGTCAGTTGTTGGCGATCTATAGTTTGTTTTTATATCGTCTTGTCATGTATAGTTAAAATATTTTAAATTTAATTACTTGTTTTAAAATTGATATCTATGATAAACTTGATATAGTCAAGATATGGCTGAAATACTGCCGATGTGACTTAAAAGTTTAACTCACTGACTCACCAAACGTCTCCTGATTATGATTCTTGATTTGTCAACCCAAACCATCCAGCATGGTTCATGGTTAAATCTGTTTTGAATTTTAAGAGTGTTTCATTTTCTCACAGCTATACTTATGTCATCTAAATGATGTTTCAGACTGGCAGCTGACGAGTGAGAATTCAGCCGACGAAATTTATCAAACAATGCGAGTCGGTTCCAACACAACTCGACGTGTCGAGATCCTGAAGGGGAATATACGTCTTTCTCATGGTGCTGTCAACGTTTCACTGTCTGAATTCCTTAACAGAAACTTCTCTGATGGTCTGAAGAGTGCGGACTTCAAGAATAGTCCTCTCATGCTGGAACCAGGCAAATGTGTCATCCAAACCGTGACTTCTGTCAGTAGAGCTCATAAGAAAACGGACATGACGCCAAAGAAGACCTGCATTAAACGTAATGTCTTTCTTTATGTACTTGTCAATATGTTTCCAACAACACATTACCATCACAACAAATATGCAATCAGCTGAATATTTTAAATTTAATACTCTCATATGACTTTAGTGGGCACAAGTGTGTAAGTCCCCATGGTCCCTACTATGGTGAGCTACCTTCAGTTGTTGATGATCTACAGCCTATTTTCATATTGTGTTTTCCTCTATAGTTAAAATGTTTTAGATTTAATTACGAGTTTTACATTTATATCTGTGATATTCTAGTTGTTTTACTGTCCTTCGTTGACAGGATTTTATACTCTATTGTTAATTATTGTTCATATATACTCCTCAAAAGAAGTTAAGGGTCACAAGTATTTTGGAATATAAGTAGAAGATATGGAAATAAAATTGTGACATCCAATGACAAAAACAAAACCTCAAGCTCTAAAAAAACGAAAACACAAAACAAAAAGTGAATTGTTTAGCACAGCTTTATTCCACAATTCATCGAAGTCAAGTACCCCAAAATCAGAGTTCACACAAAGCCAGAAATTTTTAATAACTCGTGTAGCCACCGTTAGCATGGATGAATTCCTGACCCTGTTGACACATGCGATTCATTAAACGCCTAAAACATTGTTGGGGGGTGGCTGTCCATTCTGCGACTAGTTGTTGACCCAGTTCTTGTGGGTTGATGGCAGGGACGTGATAAGCTTGAATTCTTCGTCCTATCTCATCCCAGGCATGCTCAATTGGTAACAAGTCGGGTGAATAAGCAGGCCACACCATGTGCTGAACGTTCTGCTGCTGCAGAAAGTCTGTGACCACCCTGGCACGATGGGGTCTAGCGTTGTCATCCCGGAACCAGGCCCCTGGTCCAAGTTGACGAAGCAGTGGCATTACCAGAGGTTGAATAATCTCGATGAGATATCGAAGACCAGTCAAATTCCCATTGACGATGTAGAGAGCAGTTCTGTGGTGCACTGAGATATCCGCCCAGACCATCACACTTCCGCCTCCGAAAGGTAAACGTTGAGCAACGTTGTCGTCAGCATACTTCTCTCGTTGGCGACGATAAACACAGGCACGACCATCATTAAACTGGCGTGTGAAGCGGGATTCAGCAGAAAAGATTGTCTGTGCCCACTGATCACGGTTCCAACGAACATGCCAACGGCACCAATCTCGGCCAGCTCTTCTGTGCCGCTCAAGTAGTGGTGGTCCGGACTGGAGAACGTGCAAACGTCGGACACGTAGACGATTTTGAACTGTCTGATCGGATGCGTTGGTGCAACGGCCAGCTCTCAGCTGATCCTGAAGCTGTCTTGCGGTCACAAATCGCTGTCGCAGAACCATCATCATCAAGTAGCGATCATTGCGGGCTGTTGTTGATCGAGGTCTTCCGGAATGGGCCGATTCTGGACAGCATTTGTTGTCCTGAACCCCTGCCATAGTCACCCGATAACACTTTGGCTTACATTTAGTCGCCTAGCAACACTTCCTTGGGTTTGACCATCTTGAAGCCAACCTATTGCCCTTCCTCTGTCTTGGATGCTGGGCTGTCGTCTGATCATCTTCAAATTTCAAATGAGGCCGATTTGAAAATGCTTGGTCTTTTTATTGTGAAAATGTGCATGCATAAAATGACATCCATGGACAGCACGTGTAAAATGTGCATAAGGTGGCATAATGGTTGTTTCGCTGATGAGGGTCAGTTTAGTGTAGCCGAGTTCATGGTTCAAATCAAGAAGTCCGAATTTACGGTTAGATTTGACAGTTACCTAATGAAACGGGTAATGATAACTTTTGTCATGAAGTTATGATGTCTTCAGTCCAAATAACACCTATACAGAAAGTTTCCTGTCCCTATTTGTCTCAAAATTGCCCATTCTAATTTTGATGTCCACATTTCGTTTCACCCTTAACATCTTTTGAGTAGTATATATGTTGTTTTAGTCACGATATGGCTGTAATATTGCCAAAGTGACTTTAACTTTTAACTCACTCACTCACTAGTAGGCACCCATGAAGAGCAACCTCCTCGTGGTGGGTGCTGAGTAACGCTAATAGCTCTTCGCCCCCATGTGGCCCAGGTGCAGAATGTGTCGGTGGAGGATGGGATTCTGGTGGCTGAGGGCACGGGTTCCAGGAACAGTGTTCACTTGAACACACCACTTCAGCCCTTACTTTACCTAGATGGGTTGTAGAATGGGCCCGGTTTTATCAATCGGCTGGTGAGTGAATGAATGAGTTAAGTTTTACGCCACCCTCATCAATATTCCAGCTATATGGCGGCGGTCTGTAAATAAACGCCTCTGGACCAGACAATCCAGTGATCAACAGCATGAACATGGATCTGCGCAATTGGGAAACGGTGACATGTGTCAACTAATTCAGCGAGCCTGACCACCCGATCCCGTTAGTTGCCTCCCAATCGGCTGGACTTGCAAGGTCATGTGCATTTATTTGGTGTAATTACATAAAATCTGATTTGGAAATTTTTAAATACTAGCATTATCCTTGTGATGCTCCGCGAAGGGTTGGGAATTCGGATGATGAACTATTAAACACTTACCATGTCTTACGACACCAACCCTGAAAAAATAAAACGTCCACTTGACACTGATCCAGATGTTCACGGCCAAAGACTGTCTACATCCGTTCATTACTGGCCACGTTTTGTAGTGACTGAGACTTAAGATAACACGAGATTAAAGTTGAAACTGTTTGCTTGTTGAGTGCATCAAAAGACTACAGGCAACTAACCTACGGCTTCTGAAACGTCCGTCCACATTCCGATATAAGTCTGTCCTCATAGAACGCTTAACACCAGCAAAGGATACGTTAGAGATAGATGTCCGAACTTCAGAATTTCAGAAATGAAACATCAAGGGGTCACATACATTAAGCATTTTACAACACGTCAAAACCAGGGAACCATTCAGACAAAAGCATACCTGTTTTTATTTTCCTCTCCAAATACCCCCAGATCACTAAGGACAGGACACTGTAAAATGTATTTCGACACCTACATATTAAATATTAAATTCCAAACGTTTGGTCATGGTGTCAGTACTTGCACATTGTCTGTTGTGTGTGCTCACTGTGGTGAGAAGACACATACAACAGAAAATTGAGACCGTGACTTTAAGAAATGTACCAACTGCGCAAGCTATCACTCATCATTCTCAAAAGATTGTCCGATCTGGAAACAGTAGACGGAGATTAATAAGCTAAATTTCACCCAAAACCATTAGTTTTCCTGGTCCCTAAAATATTGTCTTAAGATATGAAAATAAGGAAACCTATGCTTCCATAGCCAAAACGGCATCTGATACAACCCCAACAGTAACCAAATATCTATAAGCTGTCAGACGAACTTGACTTGGGTCAAAACCGATTCTCCTAAGATTTTGTCACCTGCTATGTCTACACCAATTGTAGTACCACTTCCTGGCACAACCCAAAGTCAAGTACAACCATCTCATGATCGTGACACATCTTCCCAGTGAACTCAAAGGTCTTAGTCTAACACAAACGTCAAAAACAAGGCAAACCGAAGCCATATTCTTTGAAAGAAAAAGTGGCAGAGCCCCAATAGGGTTAGACGATAAAATTAAATTATTTAACAAATAAGGATCACTTGAGGACATGAGTATGTCCGAAAACGTCCATTCTAGGGCACACAGCTTGTCGCCCGCCAAAGTAAAATAAAAAATATCTAAAGATATAGTGCAGTGGAACTGCAGAGGACTACGGACAAAGTTTAATGAAATACAGCTATTAGCCAGGATTTCACACCATCAGCTTCCTGTCTGCAAGAAACGTACCTGAAACAGACAAATAATTTAAAATTTATTATTTTTCCTGTTATTCACAGCCCTGGTACAATTAACACTTGCTCTGAGTGTACCATTTACATTATGCTCTCTATATATTCTGCCTTCATCGGCATTTCAGCCGACTGATCTTCAGTCACCCTATGATCAACTCCCGAAGCCCTGTTATACTGGCTTAGCTAAACGGCAGCAACCCACTCTGGGGTAGTACCAATACCAATACTAAAGGCAAGATACCAGAAGATCTAATTTCCAATAATGATTGGTGCATATACAATGATGATTCAAGCTTCTATCTGCATACTGCCACTGACATTCACTCTTTTCTGGATTTATCTCTTGCAGATTCTATCCTCATCAATGAATTTGATTGTGACCACTTCCCAACCATACTTTCATCTGATTCTTCGGGGGCTGTGGGGTAGCCTAATGGTTAAAGCGTTGGCTCGTCACGCCGAAGACCCGGGTTCGAATCCCCACATGGGCACAATGTGTGAAGCCCATTTCTGGTGTGCCCCGCCGTCATATTGCTGGAATATTACTAAAAGTGGCGTAAAACCAAACTCAGTCAGTCTGATACAAGATGGAATTTTTCGAAGGCTGACTGGTCCTTATTTCAAACTATATGTAAATAGAAACTACGACCTGACTGTGTCCGTGATGTAAATGATCTGTGATGTAAATAAAATGGTGATGAGTGTATACCAAAGTCTTCTATGACCCCACGTGTTCAAAAACCATGCTTTAATACACATTGTAGACAAGCTAAAAAAGCGAGGGAAAAGGAAGAGTAATATTTCCAGCTCCATCCAACTGTCCATAACTTAAATAGATTTGAAATCCTCAATGCGAAGGCAAGTCGTACCTTCAAACAAAAATAGCCCGGCAATCGTGGAGGAACTATGTCTCCAAAATTAATTTACGCTCGCCAGTGTCTGAGGTATGGAACATGGTTCAAAGAATTAAAGGCAAACGTTCAAAATGTGCTGTTTAATATCTTAATGATGGTGATCATATAATTACTGACAAATCTTATATTGCAATATAATTGGCGAACCTCTTGCCAAAATTCATCATCGGCAAATTATGTCGCTGAGTTTCAGAGATATCAGAAACAACAGGACAAGACGAAAGTTAATTTTGATTCCAATAACGGGGAAGATTACAATGAAGTGTGTTACGACGTAAATTGTAATAATGCGGTAAAATGTAATAAACTGCGGCAAACTGTAATAACACTGCGGTAAATTGTAATAAAATATATTTCATTGACTATTATGTAAGGAAACATTCATGATGCTGAAATGTGAGACTAAGCTTCATAGAAATCAAAACCTGCACTTTTAAAACATTGAATTGACATAGATTACTCATCACAAACACTGCAAATTGTTGTAACAAGAAAGTCCCCACCGTCCCTAGTATGGTGATCTACCTTCAGTTGCTGGTGATCCATAGCCCGTTTTCATATTGTAAAATTATTGCTCCCCTGAAAGGGTATGTAAAACCACGTCTTTCAAAGTATATTTAATCTCACTACATTTTTAATCGTACAGTATTTGTCTTTTTAATGCATGGCTGAATGGATGGTGTAAATCCAACTAGGGTCCATGCAGGTAGCAAAAGTCCCCATGGTCCCTAGTATGGTGATCTACGAATATATGATGCATAAGTAGTGAAACCACAGTTAAAGTAATATAATTGCATTTAATATACCTTAAGTGGGATCCGGTTTTCATGCCAATAATGTTTTACACATTGCGTTAATATATAACGGATACCTGAAGCATTCCCCGTATATAATTGCATTCGGGGTTTGAGAGCTAACAATTAAAATATTTTGCATGCAATAAATGAACTTATTCTAATTTATCGAATGTGTGCATATCCCATATTTCTGCGCCATATAATAAGATTGGTTGTATTTCAACTATTTTAAAGAAAATGTTACAATTTACCATTCAGACTTTACTTAGATTAATAATAACTTCTATTAATGCACGTTCACCTCTCATCGCTAAATCAGCAATACAGTTTCCCATTATATGATTTGAAGAATATAATACACCTAGGTATTTATAACTATTTACTACAACAATCTTCTTGTCATTTAAAAAAATCACTGTTCAGGCCTAGCTAAGCGTCCGTTACTTTGAAAAACAACAATATTGGTTTTTATCAAGATCCATTAAACTTGGAATGTTCTGTAAAACCATGTAATATGTTATGTAAAAAGTTTTCAGTCAGTCAGTCAGTCAGTCCACCCGTCCGTTCAGAAACTTTTCCGTCAAAGAATACACATAAGCGTGAAATTCAGAACACGGGATTAATCATTTTAAAATCTGAAGAGCTATTTGACAGAAAAGAAGAGAAAAACCAAAACAACATGCGAGAACCTGATCCTGTTGAGGAGTTCTTTCACGGACACAATTGATTTGTGAGATATAGTTGATTTAAGTGTCTTTAAGAAGACATGTCCGATTTCTGACAGTGAACAATACAATACAACTATGCTGCTGAAGAATAATATGGGTACAAATTGAGTGACAACAGATTGTAAAGGTGTATGCATAATAATTACACAATATATGCCTTGGTGGTTAGTTATTAGAAAATTCAATGGAGTCCCCCTTGAAAGTCAAAATGATGGCAATATATACGTAATATAGGCTACATCATATTGTGGCACGAGATATATATACGTGTGTGCTTAGAGTATTCATTGAATTGAAATCTAATAGTATCTGTCGTGACATATAGTAGAATTTCCCGATCTGTTTCAGATGATAAAACATTGCTTCTGGAGGATTCAAGTCCACATTTAGAGTAAATTTAGGCTTGCCACGTTTTTAATCGTAGAATATGTATGCTTTTAATTTATGGCTAAATTTCTCTTCTGTCGCCAATGGCTGAAGGGATGGTGTAAATCCAACTAGGGTCCATGCAGGTAGCAAAATTAATGTAAGTCCCCATGGGCCCTGGTTTGGTGATCTACCTTCAGTTGTTGGCGATCAATAGCCCATTTTTATATCGTATTGTTCAAATATATTTTCCTACTTTTAAAGATATATGCTAGCTAGTTTTACCTCATGTGATAACCTAGTAATTTTACTGTCCTTCATGAACAGGGTTTTATATATTATATGTATTTATTATGAATTTCGAACTAGTCACGATATGGCTGAAATATTGCCGATGTGACTTTAAATCTTAACTCACTCACTCTGGAGGAGTCTACATAATGTTATGTCTTTCTGCTAACTGACTACAGTCATATTTGGTATAACACAAGTGAACTGCATGTTTATGCATTCCAACGTTTTTACAGTGACGTCAAGATGATATTGAAAAAGGGGTGAAATGCATCATATGTTATCTTTAGGACTACATTTTCTCAGTATAGTAGAGATTCTTGTACATTGGAGCCCTCTCATCCGGGATTCGAAACCAAGATCTCAGAGTGAGGCATAAAATATGCAATTTAACTCACTTCCCCACCTCCGCTTCCATAAGAAGCAACTGGTCACTTTGAGTTTCCCTCCTATTTATGATGATTACATCCATTGTGAAAATGGCACTTTTTTTACAGATGAATGAAATAAGGAAGCTGGGAAGCTTTTCAATGGACGGACGGATGGATGGATGGATGAAATGAATGATCAAGTTGTGGGGCTGATTTACAGATACCGCCGTTATTGATATCATCTGGCGTCAAGATGAATTATTACATGTACAGTGACGTGCCAAAAGTATTGCAAGAAACGTGTTTGCTCTATATCTCCCGGAAGCATTTACTGTCAACAAGAGTCTCTCTTTCGAAAACCGCCTAACATTTGCTTGTGAAATATGACACCGTTTATGACGTCATTGCTTGCGTTTTCATCTGTCGCGTGCCCAGCAGACGACATGGCTCGCAATGCGAAGGAACTGACAGAAAAGCAAAATGAATTACTAATATTTATTGAATTGCATCAAAAAGGTTTGAAAAATAGCAACATTGCACAAAAGTTAGCAGTTCTCAGATCTACTGTTGGGCGAAGAATTTGAAGAAAGCACAGAAAACAGACATCGTGGTGGTCGGCCTCGTGTGATTGGTTTGAGGGGGGATAGGCGACTTTTCCGTGTTGTTCGCCAGAAACAGGCGACGTTCCCTTACTGACATAACTGACATTTTAATTCTCAACACCATGTTCGAGTTTGTAGCAGGACAATTCAGAGACATTTACATCGGGTTGGCATAAAAAAACGAACGGCAAGAAAGGCTATCACCATTTTACATGTTAACCGCCAGAGGCGTGTGGTGTAGGGGAAAGTGACATTGACTTCATAGGTGGAAGAAAGTGTTGTTTCCTGTCCTTAGTATGGTGATCAGCGTTCAGTTGCTGGTGATCTATAGCCCGTTTTTATATTGTGTTGTTGTCCAGAGTGGTATATTTTTATGATAGCGTACTGGTTTTAGATTAAGGGCTGTGATACTCAAGTTTTAGTGTCCTTCGATGACAGGTTTTTACGTTCTGAATTTATTGATTTTAAAATTAAACAAAATTGTTCTCATCACGAAATTTCTGACATATTGCCGATGTGACGCTGAATATTAACTCACGCCCTGACTTTTTTATTGTCCAGGCAAGAAAGACATAGTTGTAAAACAAGGTACCAACAAGACACTTGTGATTGACGGCGATGTCATCTCCGAGTCATTGGCAAAGCACAATCGTTCTGTTTGTACAATATCAGTGGAAGGTAAGGCGATCAGAACATTAGACAGTAGCGGCAGCTCTTTCAAGCAAAAACCCTACAGCTGCTATTAATGAATTAACATTGTTTTACCTGGCTTAAATTTCGAGACAATTACGATGTTTTTTTATCTGTATATTCTGCAAGATGTGCCATGTACCCTTAGTAAACGGCTGCTGTTGTGTAGTTTCCAGTGGCGCCCTAACGGTCGGTGTACTGAGCAAGACCGATCAACACATGGCCTACGGTGCTCCGGCCGCCGTGAATTATTCTCCTTACATCGTCAGCCCCGACATCACCTCCACACAGCTGTCCCGGTTTCTCACTGGAAGGTGAAGTTTTGTGTTGTTGTCTCTGAAGCAAGTGCGTGTACACATATCAGAATTATCAATGAATTGTACTTCTGTTCACATAAATCATGGGATATCAACACCACTTCTACAAAAATGTTCTCATACGAAGTATGACATAGTAAATAACGAACAATATTTTAAGCATGTTCATTTAATTTTTTTTTCAGGCTCTACAAGTTTGTTAGTCCTGCTTTCTACCTGTCGCCGATCAGCAATGTGCAACTAACAGAAGACATCAACGTTGATTTGCCAACATCACCAGTAGATGAACACCAGGAATCAGCGATCATTCTATGGGACTCCGGTACAAATGCAACTATATAAAACCTTTTTAAGCATATCTGCGTTGTACCGCATTTTGAAAGGAACGAGTGAGTGACTGAGTTAAAATTTTACATCGCATCGGCAATGTTACAGCCATATAGCGATGAAAATAAATTAATTAATGTAAAATATCTGTCGACAAAGGACAGTAAAACCAACTAGTCTATCACAGATATATATATTTAAAACAAGTAATTAAATCTAAACTACTTTAACTATAGTGGACGATACAAAATAAACATAGGCTATAGATCGCCAACAACTGAAGGTAGATCACCATACAAAGGACCATTGAAAGGAACGTTTGTGTATAATTTTACGCCGCTTTTTCCTATATGCAGCTAGCGTTTACTTTGCTTCGCTCATTTTACCGATGGTGAGAATCGAAACCAGATCTGTAGCGTAAACTTCCGTCCCCTTTTATAAGGACAACATCTGTTGTACCAATCAAGTTTCGGTTTTGCACACAGGTGACGATGTCTGGCGCCATGTCAGTGAAATCTGTGATACTGCTTCTTTGAGGAGTAACGTTTCAACGAATGATTCTCATGCAATACAGGTATGTATGCTAAAATTCTGGTATGCACTGCCACATACATTGTGCAACAGCTTGTAGTATTTTGTACTTTTCCATCTGCTCCACCAGTGAAAATCCGGGTTAGATTTGATCTTCAGTAAAACCCATGCTTGACGTTTGAGGCGACTATCGGGATCAGGTTGTCAGACTCGCTGACTGGGTTGACGCATGTCATCGTATCGCCGTGGCGTAGATCGATGCTCATGCTGTTGATCACGGGCTTGTCTGGTGCATACTCTATTAACTGTATTGATTTGTCAGTCACAAGGGATAAATATTTCAGTGCCAAAACAGTTAAGGATCTTTTAGCAATATTAATTATCATTTAATTATTGAATTTTCAAAAGAAATTGAACCAACTGATAAATTTTGATCGATATGTCTTTTATATAGATATATATTTTATCATTGGTAATTGAGTTAGATACTTAGATTGTTAGTGGCGGTATACTCAAGGGAGGTTGAAGTACCTTAAAATTATTGTCCTCCTAAGAGGATACGTAAGCCCCAAAACATAAGAAGTAAAATATAATCTTCCACATTTTTACTCGAAGTATTATTGCCATTTTCATTTGTGGCTAAATTTGCCTACAATCGTCAGCTGCTGAAGGGATGGTTTGATTGAGCTAGGGTCCATGTAGGTAGCAAAGGCAATGTAAGTCCCCATGGTCCCTGGTATTGTGAGCTACTTTCGGTCGTGTGCAACATTTAGCCTGTTTTTATATTGTTTTGTCTTCTGTAATTGAAATATTTTAGATTGACACACCAGTTTTATATTTATACCTGTGATATTCTAGTTGTTTTTCCTGTCCTTCGATGACATTGCTGAGTGCGGCATAAAACTAAACTCAGTCACTCAGGTACCATTTGCTCCAATTTCTACATTTACATGTCCTTGTTTCTTAGTTACATTTTAGAACCTGCATATTATATGCAACGAAAGGCACAAGTTGCTTACCATAAAGACCTAACACAAGAAGAAAACTTAATTACATGCCATGTTGGTAGATGTCTAGGTAGGATAAGGCAAACGGATAAGATGCTATGCGATGGGGTCGTTTGTGGTCTTCAAAATCAAATAGATATACTCTCAGCGTATACAGATAAATGGCAGTTGAGTGTGAATCTAGATAAAACAAACATCGTTATATTCCGAAGAGGTGGTCCTTTGTCGGCTAGAGAGAAATGGTTTTTTAAAGATAAACGTATGAATGTTGTGAATGATTATAAATACCTTGGCATATTGTTTACCCATACGCTGAATCTGAATAAGTCCGTACTTAACCTGGCGAGGAGAGCAAAGAAAGCTCTTTTACAACTTCACTCTGTTGTTCCTATGCTCGGTCTTGTTCCACCGACTATTTACTTCAAATTATTTGACTCTCAGATACAACCGATTTTACTGTATGGATCTGAAATGTGGGGTTTTAAAGAGTATTATACCATAGAAAAAATTCATTTGCTTGCCTGTAAAAAGTTTCTAAATGTTGGTTTGTCAACACCAAATGTTATGGTTTATGGTGAATGTGGGAGGTTGCCATTGTACATAACATCTTATTGTCGTTTTTTAAAATATTGGTGTAAAATAATTAATATGCCTGAACATCGTTTACCTAAAAAAGCTTTCAATATGCTTTTACATCTTGATTATCTTGGAAAGAATAACTGGACATCCCATATTCGCACCTTACTATTTAGATATTGTTTGGGTTGTATTTGGTTATCACAGACAGTTGTCAATGCAAATATGTTTATTAAACAGTTTCGTATGCGGGCTATTGATATGTTTAAGCAGGAATGGCATTCAACTATTAATGAAAGTTCTAGATACGATTCATATCGTCAGTTTAAGTCGTTGCTTGAGCCAGAGTGTTATCTTGCTCACTTTCAATACAGAAATATTCGCAATGCTTTTATACGGTTTAGATTAGGCCTTAATGATTTATTAATTAACCGTGGAAGATATGTTTCTATGGAAAAAAACCAAAGATTATGTCCATTCTGTTTTATTATTGAAGACGAATTCCATTTTATGTTTATTTGTCCTGTATATGAACATCTAAGAAATAAGTATCTACCGCAACTGTCTTTATCTCAAATCAATGTTAATCTATTGTCTTCCTTACTTTCCTGCAAAGAACCTCCAAAACAACACAAAAATTAAAGTTGCTCTATTTATCTACAATGCATTTTTGTTATGAAAAGAATTGATTAGTTAGAAAATTGATTATATATGCCATTGTCAAGATGTATCTCTTTTGTATATGGGCCTATGGCCTTTCATACAATAAAGAATTGAATTGAATTGAATTGATACATGAGTAATAAGTTGAAATGGCAGGTTGGTGCTATTTTCAGGATTCACAAACATGGCGATGTCCTTGTCAGTTGGCATCAGGAATAGGGAAAATAACTCTGACAATTGTCATTATTAACAACAAAGACTGTTTTGATCGGGAGGTTTTAGTATGTGAAGGCACAACTGAATACCGAGATTGCAATCGTAGTGCGCAGACCCGGTGATCGTGAAACTTCTGCATTTGTGCTGTAATGAAATGGGACATTTCACAGTTTAATTGGGAGATCAGGATTTCACATGTTGTTTGATATTTGCACATGTGAATACCTCTGTACCAAGGTATCTTTATCAATGTACCTCGATGTATCGGACACATCTTCACGTGACATAGCCATGCGCGATTACTGTTCACCTTGTATTACTATGATAGTATTGCTAGTGGCAGATGTAAATCAGTAATACAGATCAGTCAATAATGCTGAACTTTAATATTTTCAGATCTGCAATTTAGTATTTAAGAGAAGCTTGACAAAATCAAATACACGCGAGAAGAGGGCAACGCTTCCTTTCTCGAGTCCAAGAATGTTTTCCGGTGCAATTGTGTCTAAACATATGAACAATACACCTCCCATCATTGACACCAGTGTTATCCAATGCGTCGAGGACAGCTTTGTGAAGCAAGTCATCAAGTACCACGATCTGCAGCATGACAATTTAACATTTACAGTAGAGGAGCATCCTTATCGCGGTGAAGCCAACCTCACAGCAGAGGGAATGCTATCCTACCGACCAGAGAAGGATTTTAATGGCTATGATAGTATCCTCGTAAATGCAACTGAGGTATTCATACATGATTTGGGAATACAATCATCTACATTTACGAAGAGAATACTCATCAACGTGTCAAATGTTAATGATCCACCTGTTACTTTCTACCAGAGGGACACCCAGTCGCCAATACCATCATTTGTTGAAAGTATTCACAAGGTGTATGTTGAAGGCAATCTGACGGATCACTCGCTGGGCTCGTTTTGGATCGCAGATGTTGATGACCCTGAAGAGCTGACAATCCTTCAAAAGGATGCAAGGGGACTGGCAGCCAACTTTACACTTACACAGGTTGATGCGCCTGGGGAAGATGAAGAGACATACAGAAGCATGTCCATGATATACTCAGGGACAACTCTGACCAAACATTATTTGAAGCTGAGGACCCTCAAGGAATTCCATGGGAGCATCCAGTTCTCTCTGCTGGCTTTAGATACGAATAAGAGCTTCAGCCACGCCCTGTCCATCCGCGTGTTTGTCCTCACCAGCCCATGTTACCATGGTAGCTGTGCTCCAAGATACCCGAATTTACCATGTGAACATCCAGACAGAGCAACCAGCTTTCAAGCCTATCACTGTGAATGTGTAGCTGGTTACGAAGGACAGTTCTGCGAGAAGGAAATCAACGAATGTCTGAATACCCCCTGTTCCCTTCTGTATGATTGCGAAGACAAACTGGCGACCTATGAGTGTCTCCTGAACATCCCGAAAATTCTTGCCATACTTGTCTGCATTCTTCTGCTCTGTCCAGGTGTTGCCTTTTACATAAGTCGCAAGTACAGACAAAGACGTCACATTTGGTAAGTAATATTTTTACTTTTACTTGGTAATAGGCATGGTACTATATGATTGTTTTTTTGTCTGATAAGGCAGATCTCACAGTCATCACTTGTTTAGAGTTTGCTTTTGCATGTTGTATTGTTCACTTTGATGGTATCTTAATACGCATGTAAATGTTTGTTTTGTGGTGTCGACGTTTGATAAAATTCATTTTTGTTTGAAGGAATGTGCCGGACAACATTCCACATACACATACGAATCCTGTATACCTAGTAGGGTTCACATCAACAGAACAACACAGTGACGGTGGATCAGACACGGAGCAGACGACTTCCGGGTCGGCCTCCACCTAGGAACAACTACAAGACACCTGGGTGCCGTTGTACAAAGCGATCTCATCGCTAAGGTGACCCTAACTCTCATACCTTAGCCTAGTTAAGATGATCTTAGCGCTAAGGTTGTTTTGTACAACAGCATCCCACTGGTTTTCAAGAAAATTACAGAAGCACGCCTGCCTTGTTCATGGGTCAAGGACACGCTAAGATTCCTCACAGGAAACTGACAAACCCTCTGTCGAACTCACATAAAACCCTTCGTGCAGCTGTTGACTGAAAGTGTCGAATTGTTCTGTTTGTAGTTTAGATATTCTGGTAAACCCTAGGCTTCATTTGTAACTCATATTAGAGGAACCCTATTAGTAGCATTTTGGGTACTCACTGCGAAGCTGTCACTGACATGAATGACTGATTTCTCATGACATCATTCAATCATATGGATATTCTCGCCACGAGGAAATTGCTTTCAATCGACCGCTTATATTATATTGAGATTTTGCATGTACCATGTACATTTCGTGCTGTCGTAATTAATAAATAGATCTTGTGACACCATCCTCCTTGCATTTGTCGTCTTTTAGGGAAGCGAGTGCTCATCAAGACATCAGTGATCGGATCGAGGGTGCGGGTAAATTTTACATATTTCAAAGTTTATTATTGTTTCTTAGATCATATTTGTATTATTCCAATGAATGGAATCTTGGATAGGGAGAAATCATTGCTGTTCATTTTCAAAGGGAAGTTTTCGTAATATGATGCGTTATAAAATCGCATTTGCTGTCATTATCTCGTGAAGAATACTGATGCAAATAATATATAATAGGTGTACCCATGGGGATATTGTAATATGGACAATCAGTACCTATGCCTATGTGCATGATTACATTTATTACACGTTAAAGTTAGATGGCTAAATGTTTTTTTCACATGTTGAATTTGCAAAAGTCCGAAGGTCTGACCAACAGGTTGTAATGAAACAGTGACGTAGACAAGTTCAGAAACACTTATGCAAATATTTCAATTGTACACAGATTTATCGTTATGTTATGTGGTTGTACTTTAAAGTATAAACAATAGTTGATTGAACAATGTTACATCTATGAGATGTGAATGACGAGTGCTACTGGTAGGGCAGGCCACGTTCATTCTTTTGGCGAACACCTGGTGTCATCACTGTACCCCTATGATTCATTCACAATTTCCAACATGAATTATGCAATGAAATATGTTTCTACCTTAGTAATATATGAAAAGGGGTGAATGTTTTAGTGTTTTCTTTCTATAAAGCGTCGCTAGTCATCGTAATTTTGTAAGTTATATATATATATACACACACACACATACATATATAATGTCCACCATAAATGTAACAATACATATATTCATAAAGGTGTACTATTGTTTGCTTTATCGCAATTGTGGACAAGGGCTTTTTCAAAGAAGCTGGTCTGGAAACATTTACTCGGACGGATAACCCCAATCTAATTCCGCCTATCGATGTGGAATTAATTACTGTGGGGTTAGTCCTCCAACTGTTTCAACCTGTTTGGAAAAGCAGGAAATTAAATACCAAAATTAAACAACTAGACATGAAGAGAAGGATTTTTCTGAAGAGCAAGACCCTTCACCGAAAATTTAATTGGCACAGTTTCTGCAACAGCGATTTGAAATGACAACCAAAGAGAGGACAACGCCCCCCAAAACTGCCCTAGTCCATCCCAGCTCAGACGCAAATACCCCTTCACCACAATCAAGCCCTCCGCCCGGATTTCATATGCCTCAATTCCCCATAATAGTCAACCCAATGGCCTATATATTATCACCCGCTTGCTTTCATAGGTTACCCCCTGTTCCTAATCCCTGGCCCACCAGCACATTTCTTCTTCAGCCTTTCAGTTCTACTTCTCAATTCCCAAATGAAATATCTCCTACTTCAACACCTTAGCCTTCTGTTAAATCCCACCCCGATTCCAATAACAATCATATATCCCAAGTGACAGTCTACTTCTTCCGGTCCCACTCCACCCATTTTCGATTTTTGTGTCCACTCACAACCCCAGCACCAATTCCAATTCACATTCGCACCAATCTTCTGTCTCTCAAGGTGCACACTCATCCAAGGAGTATATAAAGTAAAAATCACAAAACAATAAATACGCTAAGAAAGTGAAAGAACAGACACATATGCTACATCAACTACAGAAACAGAAATATAAACGGACTTCCCACGCAACCTCTAAACGCTTTATTAATGCTCATGTTTAGATACTGGCACAGACTGGCAGAAAGAAGTGTGACCAGTTACAAATGGACGTCGATATTCGATATGCTTATTACAGAAGTTGAATCGACACCCCCATTGGCACCTGCCGGTACCAAATTTAATCCCAAATTCACAGGAATCGACTTAATGAAAGGGAAGACTTATAGTGGCAAGACAGTTAAATGCGTTTGGCATCTTTCGGCTGAAAATGTAGGTTATTCACATGTAGGGCGTGTTATAAAAGCCGTTCTTAATTTAGTTGGGCTTCAACCCAAGGCCATTCCTCAGTAACTACGGTACCTGAAATGGCGAAAACGTGCGCCATTAAACAGCATTTTTGTTGGATACGACGGACACAAAACTTCACAGTGGTGAGACTTCAAAATTTGGACAGGGGGTTCAGAATTATGTCGTGACTGACGCTGACGACAATACCATTTTGATAGGCATAACATAAATGGCTGGTAAGTCTCTGATCTGAACAGTGTAACGTAAAAACACTGGGACAAGAATAATAACCAGTATCAAAAATACCATGTCAGATCCTGCAGCAACAGAAAAATCCGTTAACTCTGTTGATGGTTTACCGAACGGCGCTTCTGTACGGAAATCATACCAGGGTGGCATATCCGGTCATTGATTCGGTCACGTGACTTACCTGTCCAGGTGGACGTGTGTACTGAACGGCACATAAATTTGCAATTAATGGCCAAATATCAATTCACAACAGCAATTTAAAGGTACAGGGTGTTGCACGAAAGTGTGAAGATACAGTGAAGCCGACATAGGTGTGTGTACCGAAACCTGGAGGAGAGCTATAGGATGTTTTATTCCGACCAGGGTGAGACGTGTGTTTTTTTTTGCCCCGTTTTAAGGCTACCTCAGGGCACCCGTTTGACACTCAGACTCGCTGTGTTGTTGTTCACCCTCTTAACTGTCTCGGGGGACGTTGAGTCCAACCCAGGACCTCGCCAGTCCCAGAGCAGGACTAACAATCCCGTGGATAGGATGCAGACCAGATTATCCACTACCAATGTCACCGGGATCGTGTCATCGCCGCCATTGTCAGATGGGTCGGACCTCGCTGTAGCACTAAAGTCGATCCAGGCTGATCTTACCTCTCTCAACGATAAGTTTGATCGCTTCGCACGTGATTTCAACGAGCAGATACGTGCGCTTCAGTCTGAAAACGACTCCCTCCGAGACCGGGTGTCGTTCTTGGAGAAGAAGACAGACAAGTTAGAGGCCCAGTCCAGACGAAATAACGTCATTATACATGGCATTGCAGAAGAACAGGGTGAAACATGGGACACAGTTGAAAGTAAAGTTAGAGACTTTCTCTCAAATAAACTGAACATGCTTAATGCACCATCTGTTCCCATTGACCGCGCCCATCGCTTGCATAGCAAGTCCGGTACCAGACCAGTCATTGTCCGTTTCACATTTTATAAAGATAAGGAATCTGTTATGGAACGGGGGAGACGTCAGTTGAAGGGGGATGGCATTAATAAAGTTTCAGAGGATTTTACCGAAAACATTCGCTGGATTAGACAACAGTTATTTCCCTTTATGAAACAGGCAAGGGACGGGTACAAGGTAGCTTTTTTAAGCTATGACAAGCTTGTCATTGACGGTGATGTTTTTGTTTTCGATGAGTATAACAAAGATATCCGTCAGATCGGCCGACGCCGTAATTGGTCGAGCAGAAGTCAACCTGCTCATCACCGTTCTGACTCCCCGCCCGCTGCTTCCCCACACAACACGTCGTCTGCTCATCACCAGGCTGACTCCCCTCACGATGTGTCGTCTGCTCAAGGGTCCAGATAGGAAATTGGCGGTGGTCCCGTTGATGAATCTTCTTTTATATTAAAGATCATGAGATAAGTATTTCACATTATCTAAGTTTTGTACTTGGAATATCTGTGGTATAAACACCAAAATATCAGATCCTGACTTTATATCATTTTGTGAATCTCATGATGTATTCAGTTGTATTGAGACAATGAGTCCTGATGCACAGCACGTCCTGGACGCTACATTCAGTTATTTTGATAATTTTGTATGCAATGCCGCCAGGCGACATAATGTCGGCAGATATTCAGGTGGTATATCAGTTTCTATTCGGAAGAATATTTCTTCTTTTTTTCAGAGAGTGTATATGGACTGGGAGAACTGTTTATTTTTCAAATTAACAGATGACTCTGCACGCTTCCACATATTTATTGGATTTGTATACATCCACCCAGAAAGATCGCCTGAGTATACAGCGTCAGAAGACAACGGCATAGACATATTAGAAAATAAACTTTTACAAGTACTGTTTGATTATGGGGAAGCCAGTAAGTTTATTTTGTTTGGTGATTTTAATGCCAGAACAGCGAGTGAGCCAGATTTTATAGTAAATGACGGTTCCGACTATATACCCGTTGGTGACGATTACGCACAGGATAACTTTGATAAACCCCGCAATTCATATGACACTGTGACAAATATGTATGGAAAGTGTTTACTCGAGCTGTGTAAATCGATGAGTATACACATTGTGAACGGTAGAAGTTTGCCTGATATCCCCGGAAGTTTAAGTTACATTTCAAAGACCGGTTGTAGTACTGTTGACTATGCGCTTATTTCATCTGAGATGTTCAACAATATTGATAGTTTTGAGGTTAAACCTCCCACAGAGTCGGATCACCTCCCGATTGTTTGTGTAATCCATGACATAATCGCCTCCGCGCCTTGCTTAAGTAACGATACAGTAATACCCATGTTCAAGTCCGTAGGGTATAAACTACGGGAGGACCAGAGAGAGAGTTTTCATACGTACTTGGTAGATGGCATAAGGAATGGTATCCTGAATGATTTCAGAGACCTACTGTATACTGATGTTAACTCTGCCATTTCTGAAATTACATCCCTACTTCAATTATCAGGCGTTAGAGCTGGAGCCATCAGACTCACTTCACCCTATCACCGTCAATGCGGCAAACTTAAGTCCGAAAAATACAGACTTTTAAACTATTTCAGAAAGCATAAGTGCGATTCTAACCTTGATTCTTATTTGAATGCAAAACACAATTTTTAAAAATGTTGCCAATTAAAAAAAGATAATTATCTAGCCAAAGCTGCAGATGATATTAAAATAGCAGCAAGAAATCCTGACTGTAAGATATTTTGGAGCACGTTAAAACGCCATCTCCAGAAAACGGTTCTCACAGATAATATTTCTCCGTACCAATGGTATCATTACTTCAAAGGTCTCCTTTCCTGTAGAGATACGAAACTGCTTTCAGAT